CTCCTTCGCTCCATAGCTTTTTGGGTTTTGAGCTAACAAGCCTTTGGCCTTGAGGTTTTTCTTTGTTTGTTAGTTTGTTTGTTTCTTTGTTTTGTTTGTGGTTTGGGTGTTTTTTTGTTTTGTTTTTTGTTTTTTTGCTCCTGGGCTGTCAGCTGAACTAGTGAGCCTTTTGGGTTTTTTCCAGCCAGACCTGAGCTGAGAAGGAAGGTCCGCTGGGCACTTTATCTGCCTCTCTGAGCTAGTAGGTTGCAACCCCAGCATCTGGATCCTGAGTTTTTATTGGTAAAATAGAACGGTTGGGGTTTTCCTTCTTTTAAACAACAACCAACAAAAGGAACTTAAAACAGAATAGAAGCCAGGGAATCGTCAACCATCAAATTCGTCGCCAACTACAGACATCCAGAAAACCTTAGCAACTGTGAACCAAAGACAGAAGAGTTAGAACTCATGTTTCAGCCAAGTGGCTCAGGAATTGAAGTCACTGCTCTCTAAACCTCAGACTGCTAAGCACTGGCCTAGAGCAGGAGAGATGGCTCATCAAGTAAAAGCGCTTGCTGCCAAACCTCACAAACAGAATCCCATCCCGGGAACCCACATGGCAAAAGCAAAGAAATGAGTGCAGCAGGTTGTCTTCCGATGTTTATATGCACACTATGGCACATGCACGTGTGTGTGTACACACACACACACACACACACACGGGGCCTTTGATTTTGTTTTTAACTGCCCCACCAACAAACGAAAGGAGTCAAGCCCCAACACTGAAGAACTTGAAGGCACAGTTAAAGACTTAAGTAAACTCTTGCACCCTATAAAAATTAACAGGGTTCTACACAGATTTTCTTCGGAACTGCCAATTCTTACTGTACAAAATATAAAGGGTCATCAAGCTGTAAACTTTGGGTCTGGTTAATCTTGGTGTGGGATGCTTTTATTTGCAGTTTTTATAATAAGGTTTATAAAAAATAAAAACAAGACACAAAAGTCAACAGAACTTGTTTTAGTCTGTTCAGTCTGCTACAGCGGGTGACCATATATTTGGTGGTTCGTAAATGGCAAGCTTGCTTCTCACAGTTTTTAGAGATTAGGAAGTTCATGACCATATTTGGTGTTTGATGATCAATTTTCTAGCTCACAGATGATGCCCTCTCGCTGTGTTCTCACTTGGAGGAAGGATCAGGGGTCTCCCCAGGCCTTTTTTTTTTACAAGAGCTCTAATCTCATTTGTGAGGACATTGTGGTCTAGATTACCTAATCATATCCTCAAATCTACATCTCCAAACACTATGTTACCTTCAGGTTTAGGATCCCAATATTGAATTTGTGTTTCAGGGCAACACAGACAGTGAAACCAGACATCACTCATCATGTCAGGAAGCTCACTTGGAGGAAGGAGCCACAAAGTGTCAGAAATATATCCTCAAGAAGAGAAACATTGTTTAAATATTTCTGAATATAAAAAGCAATGTAAAATGTGCCTTCTTCAATCTTTGAAGAGAAGGGCAGCTGTTGATTTAAAAACCAGCACAAGCAAATTACTATTTCTCCTGTGCCCAGTTCTTTTCAGAGAAAATTCAAGAAGCAGCTCGGTTGTTAGAGTGCTTGCCTAGCATACATGAGGCTCTGGGTTTGATCCTAATCACTGTATAAATCGGCTATGGTGATACAAGGCTCTAATCCAGTGATTGGAAGGTAGAAAAAGAGGGGTTGTGAATTCAAAGTTATTCTTGCTTTATACAGAATTGGACACCAGCCTGGGCTACATGAGACACCCCCCCCCAAAAAAAAAAAAAGATAATTTTCAAAACACAGTAGAACAGATCAAAATTCAGCTGCAGGAAAAAGACGAGATTCAAACTGATTCTGATGTTTTTTCAATAGAAAAAGTCCAGTATCTGGATATAGAGACCAATGTAAAAGGAAGACAAGAGCCGTCATTTGTTCATATTGGAAACTCCTCTAGCAAATGAAGAAACTATGTCTCTCATTGAGCAGCATCACAGACAGACAAGCTTAGATTCCTAATCAGCTGGAGGTAGATTATCTGACCAGATACCTGGTGGGAGATTTAAAGGTGAAGAAGGGTTTTCATTAGTTCATGTACTCACACCTGGCCCAAGACTGAGCTCTAGGTAGGCTGTGAGCTCAGAGAGACATGAGGAGACTTCAGCGCAGGACTTCTAGAACGTTTTCCACTTGTGAACCTCACCTGAGAAATTTTTCTGCCACCCTAGGTGTGTAAAGTAGGTATGCAAGTTAAGCATTTGCTTATAACATATAATAATCATAAAATATATTTTAATATGCTTCTTTACCATTTATTAATGACGAAAGCAAATTATACTGATTAAAAACTAGCTTCATTTCAAACTGAGTTTCAAAGTAAGTTACTGTGTAAAGAAGAAAAACCTAGGAGTCATCAGGATCTTAATCTTAGCCTAAGGACTCTTGACCAACAGATGTCCAGACCACGACCCTACAAAGGTTCAGCCCTGTCAGCAGATTGATCTCAGAGCCACCTGGCTCATTTCTTAAAATTGCTCCCCCTTGCCCTATTGTGTATAATTGTATCCTAACAACATTAACAATATGCCTATTCTCAGAAACCAAAAACGCAAAATAAAAACAAAAAAATCGTGACAATGCCTCATGAATCAGAAAATCCCCAGAGATGAAACAATTGTGGTTTGTGCCTTTAAAAACCCCCTCCATCTGTCTTCCCCTTTTGCTGCAGTTCTCAGATTTGCAAAGGAGGCTGCTATTGCAGTGTTGCTACAAAAATAAACTTTAAATTTTTTTTTTTTAAATTAAAAGAAAATTTGTCTGGTGTAGTCTTACTCTGGTGATCTTGAACTCCACAACAATCCACCCTAAGGCCCCTAAGACCTCTCCAGATTGTCCAGATTCCGAAATAGAACAACAAAGAAAAGCATACCAGTTGGTCCAAATTTCAAATGCACATTGGCTGGCAATACTTACTTTCATTTTGTTTTTAGTTGGGGAATTTGTGACGGTCACAGACAGGGTTCCTGTCTAGAACCTATCAAGTCTAACTTGGTCTTGTCCCCACTGGGGGCCTATCCCAGGTTAGTGAGAATTACTTTGTGGCAGCCATGATCTCGGCCTCCTCAGACTCATAAGTCTCAGGGCCTCTTCTGGACCTCTGGTGCTGAGTTGGGGTCTCTGGGGGAATCTTACTGGGTGCCATAATGTCTAGATTTTATTAACACATTCTGCCGTTTTGAATAGCATTTCAGCCACAATTAGCGTTATTTTGGAAGGGACAGGATACCCCAAGTTTCCTCAACTAAAACCATAAGCCAAAATAAAGTATATTGCCCTTTAAGTTGCTTTTGTTGGGGTATTAACCCCTCAAGATTAGCTCCAACAATATTTCAGAACTCCAGTTATTCCTTTCCCCATTTTCCCCATGGGAAAATGGTATCCATTGTTTCTTGTGTTCCCAGTGAACAGTAAGTAAAACAAAATATATGAACACACATATTGATGCATTGCTTTTCTTTTAAACCTTGAGTCAGTATGTAGCTCATTTGATAGAGTATTTGCCTAGAGCGCACAAAGCTCTGGATTTGGCCTCAGCAGCTCCCAGATTGCATGTGGTGATGGTGATGCATACCTCCAGTCCCAGGACCAGAGAAATGGAGGCAGGAGAATCAGACGTTCAAGGTCATTTTGTACTACACAGTGAGTTAAAAGCCAGGCTGGTTTATAGGAGAACTTATCTACTTTTTTTTTTTTTTGGTTTGAATTCTGTCCTGCTATTTTTATTCAAGCTGACCTCCAATACTAGGCTCAAGAGATACTGTTGCTTTAGCTTCCTGAACAGGTGAGGACTGCTATGATTCCCTCTCTCTTTCTCTCTGTGTGTGTGTTTCTGGGCTCAGACCCCAAACCTAAGAAAGGATGGACAAGTATTTATCTCTGCCATATCTTCACAGAACTTTTTTAAATTATATAATTATATGTATACTCTATTTTTTTTAATTTTTTAAATAAATTTTTAATTTTTACATTAATTACATTTTATTCGCTTTGTTCACAGAACTTTTATGGGTATGATTCAAACTTCATAAAGCTGGGGCTTATCCCTTCCTCTATCTCAATCAACAGACAAAAATGGAACATGACTCTTCAGTGTTATTTAGAAAGTGATCCATCATGAAATATCTATATGTATATTTGAATATGAGCAATTATGAAAAATATATACTCATTTGAGAAACTGAACGCCCTCCTTAGTTTCACCAGCTTCTATTCTCCCATCTTTCCCATTCTAGGTCATCTAAACCTTGATTCCTATTTACTCGTTGCCTCATACCTGCAGGCTATTTTTATTACATACATTTTATTACATCCGTTGTTTCTGAAACAGAGGTCAAGAAAAATTTTAACCGCTAGCCCTAGTTTTCTGTTACGGTTCCTCAGCTTTCCATTCTATTTTTCACAGCTCTCTTTCACAACTTTTTCCCTCTGTTCCCGAGAACCCCACCGGGGCACGCTCTCAGAGCTACACCCGGAACCCCTTTCCAACATCTCAAAGGCTTTAGCACTGGACCCGGCACAGTGTTGACGCCTTCTAAGATTTGCTACATTGTTGAAAGACACTGAGCGGCGACAGAAACTAAAACGTTAAACTTGTTTCTTTTGGACCAAGTTTCCTTTCTTCTTCCTAGTGCTAAAGATCCCGACCGCCCTTCAGCCCTGAGTTGAACGTATTATAAAAGTTCCTGACCAGCAAGAAAGCAAAAAAAAAAAAAAACAAAAAAAACAAAACTCAGCAACTAAGACTACATTTCCCAGAAAGCATTGTGGCTTCCCCAGCATGTCCGGGCCCTCTTCAGAAATTTCCGGGTTGTGAGGGTGGAGCCTAATGAACCGTCCAATGGTCTGACTGGGCGAGGAGCTTGGTCCAATAAGCGACATGGCCCGGGCACCAATCAGCTGAAAGGTGGCTGGGCGGCGCGCGGGGGCGGCGTCACTGAGCAGCGCCCGCCCATCACGCCTAGCCCTGGCTGTTCTGGTTTGTGTCTGTTTCTTGCCCCTTCTCCCACTGCTCGTAGTCCCCGTTTCCATGTCCCTGGTGGGTTCCGCACCCCAGAACATCACACGCACATGGCCGCCAGCTCGAGGGAGTCCTCGTTCTCTTCCTGCACGTCCATCAATGATGCGGACGACGAGGGAGTGCGCGGCACCTGCGAAGATGCTTCTCTCTGCAAGAGGTGCCTGGGGGCGCGGGGTCCGGGATGGGTGATAGGGTCCCGGGCAGCGGTGGCAAGCAGGCCGCTGTCCAAGGCGTACGCTTAGATACTGGGAAGGATCTGCCGCGCTCACCTGGAGCGGCCCTCCCTTCACACTTGGGAAGTGCACGGAGCAGGGAGTGGTTCATTTAAGTCGTAATTACCGAGTCTGTGTGAACCCGGGGTGCCGCAACTGGGAGTGAGGCTCTGAACAAAGCTTACTAGATCTTGGCCTTCAGGAAAGATGGGGTGTGTTGCAAGTCTTAGCTACAGCTTTGATGGGTTAGAAATGCAAATTTTCTTTGCTTTGTAGGTTACATCCTGTTGCAGTTGGTCATGAGTTCCCATTTTGTACTTGAAACTCAGGCCTTTGAGGGATGGATTGCACGTCCCGGGCCCTGCAGTGTTTGTAGAGTCAGTACCACACACAGACCACAGTATTTGTGGAGGGGTAGCAGGTGGTGCTGGGGCATTGTCAGGGCAGGAGAAAGCACAGAGCTTCCACATCATTCATTCCTTTATGCATTCCTGCAACAGAGTTATTGGGACATTACATTGTGCTAGTCCTTTACTTTGGTAGGGTTTCGGTGTTCCCGAGTACTTAAAGGAGCAAAACAGACATGGTGTTGACTTAACTAGACCTACAACTTAGTTGGGAGGAACGATAAACTCATAATTTAGCGTTGGGCTCTTGGAGATGCAGCAGCGTCTGTAGAGTTTGAAATTTATGCAGGGATGTTTAAACTGGCAAGAAAAAACGGACATAAGGAAGCAGGACAATGTTCGGAACAAGGAGCGTGGACAATTAGGACAATTAGGACAATGCCCTGGAGATAGGAGTAGGCTCGGGACCTGAGAGGTATTAAGGTGTGGGGAATACGAGCTTTTGGGTGAGGTGTCGCACTTTTTGTAGGGTCTTAGAAACTAAGCCTAGGGATTTAAAGCACCAGTCCTGGAGTCGGGCGCTGCCCAAGCTGTGTGTGCAAGTGTGTGTGTGTGTGGCGTATGTGCATGCAACGTGTATGTGTGGGTGAATGTACCCGTGGATGCCAGAGGAGGGTGCTGGGTGTCCTCTTCTAGCATCCTATCTTGTTCCCATGACACTGGCTCTCTCACTGCTCCTCAGACTCACCTTTTCAGCTAGGCTGGATAGGGAGCAAACCTTAGCAATCTTCTTGCCTCCAGCCCTCAGCTCTGGGGTTACAGGTGTGTGCAGCCATGCCCTTCTTTTTCACGGGTTCTTGGGAATCCAACTCAGGTCTTTATGCTTGTACAAAAAGTGCTCTTACCCCCTGAGTCATTTCCCTAGCTCCCTAAGCTAGGTTTTTTTTTTTTTGTTTGTTTGTTTTTTAATTTGGCCTTAGTTTTCTTGTCTCTCAAGTAGGAATGGTGGGGCTGGGGAGACAGCTCAGTGGGTAAAGTGCTTGATGTGCAAGCATGAGGACCTGAGTCTGTATCTCCACCACCCATGTAAGAAATCGTATGTGGCATGCATGTCACCCCAGCCCGGGGAGGTGGAGACGAGGGGATCCCTGGAGCTTACTGACCAACTGCTCTAGCCAAATCGGTGAGTTCCAGGTTCAGTGAGAAACTCTGTCTCAAAAAGTAAGGTGGAAAAGTGATAGAGGAAGACACCCAAGAGCATTCTCAGGACAGTGCATGTGCATGCATAGCTATAAAGGTATCATGTTTACATCACACAGAGGGAAGAATGTGTGTGTGGTGTGTGTGAGAGAGAAAGAGAATTGGAGATGGCAATGCTGGTTTCTTTTTCTTTCTTTTTTTTTTCTTTCTCGAGACAGGTTTTCTTTGTGTAGCCTTGGGTGTCCTGGAAATTGCTCTGTAAATCAGGTTAGCCTTGAACTCACAGAGATCTACCTGCCCTGCCTCCCGAGATTAAAGGTGTATGACACCACAGCCTAGTGCGAGCGAGCGTGCGCGCGTGCACACACACACACACACACACATATTATGTTGGCAGGGGTTGACTTCAGAGGTCAGAAGAGTGTGTCCGGTCCCCTGGTTTGCCTCCTCCTTTGGCACAGAGTCCTGGACCAGTGATGACGTCTGTGTCAAAAGGTTGTGATGAGGATTGAGGGTGGAATGTTCTCAGCGATGGCCATAGCAGATGTTTCAAATTGCTTATTATTTCCACTTTCAATCCTGTAGTGACTAAGCCACCAGAACCATGGCCTCCTTTGATATGTCAGGTTTATATTTATTAATTGATTTGCTATAGCAGCAGCCAGTGGAAGACTGACTGTCCTAACTCTTCCTGTTCTGCTTGAATGTGGTTTATTTCCACCAAAACCAGGTTGACAAGGGCTTGGTTCCTGATGTGTCACTCTTGGGAGATGGTACCTTTGAGAACTTTTGAGGCCTTTAAAAAGGCTTAATGTGTTTCTTTCTTTCTTCTTTTGATGTATAAGTGAATGAATGTGTATGTGAGTGTGAGTGTGTGTGCTTGTGTTTATGTGTGTAGTTTGCATGATCCTGTGCACACATATGTGGAGGCTGGGAGAGGATAACATAGATGTCCTTGTTCCTTTGAGGCAGAGTCTCTTGCTGAACCTGGAGTTTTCATTTTTCAATTAGATTTACAATCTGTAAACTCCATGCTGGATTACAGGCATGTGCAAGATCAGGTGTGGCTTTTTATGTGTTTGCTGAGATCATGCTTGTGTAGGAAAGGCTTTTAACTATTAAGCATCTCTCTAACCCTGTGTATTGTATTTCTTGTAGGAGGGCGTTTTCATTCTTTGCAACCCGGTTGGTTATTGTAAGAGTGGGCTGTTATGGAAAACTCCCTGGCTGTCTTTTTTATATGCCTTCTTCCTCATCCACTTTTTTACTCTAATATGACACAGCTACAGGCCTGTGCCACGTTGGTGCTTTGTTATTTGAACTTCTAGTCACCAGAATCATTTGCCAAGTGAACCTCTTTGCCTTTTAAGGTACTACACCTATAGCAACACAAAAACAGATGCTGAAACCCTCTTTGTCTTATATGCTCATCATGGTGGCTCCTGGTCACTGTGTTCTTTGTTTACCTATGACCCAGGGTCCGCCATACCTGTACTGAGTCCTCTAAAATGAGTGTTCTATAGTCAGTCTTTCTCTCCAGTTCATCAGACTCTTTGTAGCCATTCCCTTCTTTCCTGTGCCTGAACTTTGCTGCTTCCCTGTGGAGCTCCTTTTCTTGAAGTCTTCTTGTTTCTCATATCTAGCATTCCCAGATGTTTGAGATGTGTGTTCTCCGTGCTGTTTGGTTCCCTTCCCATTAAAACAAAATATTTAGTGTATATGAGTGCATATATATATATATATATATATATATATACATATGCATATACATATATATCTGCATGTATACCTACATGCCAGAAGAGGGTATCATATCCCATTGCAGATGGTTGTGAGCCACCATGTGCTTGCTGGGAATTGAACTCAGGACCTCTGAAAGAACAGACATTGCCCTTAACTGCAGAGCCATCTTTCCAGCCCCCACTTCCTTCCCATATTTTGAGGTTCATTATTTCTAGCTGGATCTCAACAGTACTATTGTTTACCTTTTTCCAGTAACTCAACCAGTTCCTTGAAGATTGGGTGCATGGCTCACCTCTTCTCTTCTTCCTTGTTCTTTCTTTCCAGGCATGGGCCTTGGGGGTAATCTCTCCAAACCCAGAGTTTGTTTTTTGTCAGACAACCTTTGTTGAAACTTTTGCAAAATATGGTGCACTTCAAAAATTTTTGTAGCACCCTCACACAAAGGCCACACAAGCCTCTGTGTTGTTGCAAGTTTAGGTTATGTGCTGCCAAAACGAGTACCTTACTTAATTCTTGCCATAGCTCCTGGGTGAGCTCAGTGTCCTGCATGGACACTCATTCCTTTGTGACCACCTTCTCCCACCGTGATAACTTGGGTCTCCATCCTGGTGCACAACCATCCTCCTTTGCAGTTGGCTTTGCTCACTTTCCTCAGGGCCAGGCTTTTCCTGTCCCCAAGTCGGAGCCTAGAGTTCATAGTCCATCATTCAGCAATTGAGTTGGCGGTTCCTGTATCTCTTTTGTTCTTTGGGCTTAGTAGACCTCTTCAGAATTAGGTGAGTAGCCAAAAGGTAGACAATAACAAGGAGTTGTGGTCCAGCAGGGTATGGTGGATCTCAGAGAAATGACACAACTTCTGGTTTCCATTTCCTCCTGGAATACTTGTACATACTACAAGTATTATGTAGTAACACACAGTGGGACTTTGTGTCTGCCAGCCTCGTATGTGCCCCTAACAGCTTGTCCATAGTATGCTTCTCTACTCTTACTCTCTAGAAACAATTCCGCTTGTATCTATTTGAGTGCACGCATATACACGTGCTGTGCATGAGCACATATATGTGCATGTGAACATGAGAGTTCAATGTGTCTTCCTCTATTGTATTCCATCTTAATTTTTGAGGAAGAGTTTCTCATTGAGCCTGGAGTGAATGGATTCAGCCAGAGTCTCTGGCCAGTTTGCCCAGGGGTCTGTTTATCTCTACCTTCCCTTAACACTGGGATTGCACTTGCACGGCTTCTGGCCTTTTACGTGGATGTTGGGGATCTAAACTCAAGCTTTGTTTTCTAAGAAAACTGGGATTATAGACACTCATGTGAGGTGTCTGGCTTTTATGTGTGTCCTGGGTCCTAGAGATTAAAACTCGGATCCTCATGCTTATATGTTAAGCACTTTTACCCACTAAGCCATTTTCCCAGCACCTGGTTTGCTTGTTTTTGAGATAAGGTTTTATTGTGTAGCCTAGACAGGTCTTGAACTCCTGTCCTTATGTCTCTCTTTCTCTTGTGAGTAGCTGGAACTAAATTTCATAACACTATCTGCTTTCAAACTTGACTTCTGTCTCCCTCCTGTATTCTGCTTAACAGAGGACACAGAAGCCTTTGAGTGGAACTGCATTCACGTCCCTCTAAGAGCCCGACTTGTCCTTTCCTGT